TTTTTGGAATATTTATTTATATCATCTAGAGATGCCAAAACCGTAAAAAAATTCTAGACCTGATATACACTTTAAGTAGCCTGCTAGCATGACATAAGCTTATAATTTTTTTTTTCCTGGAAATATGATTTTATTATGAAATTTTTAACATTGCTAACAGTACAATTGCAAAGTTTCGAAAATATTGCCCTTAAAAATATGAAAATATGAATTGTAACTGGTGGATACGCGAAGTGTGGAAACGAGTTATTGTGGTCTGTATATGCAAATATGTCACTCACTCACTAAGAAGTTAGTGCAGTTTTCGTATGACTGTGAAAAGTTCACGGCACGAACACGGTGGTGACACAGCAAGGGATATGCCAGACAAATCACAATGCACGAGAATTTACTCTCCATCCAATAAAATACTCGAAACATGGCATAAACACAATCCGGACACGGTCACGCCAAGATCACGGCACTTTTAGACCAATCATATTGTATGTGAAAAAAATCAGCCAATTAAAATTCCAGAAAGTATCACGGTCACAGCACTTCACGCTTACGGCACTAAGCTTTTCACAATCATTCGAAAACTGCACTAGCAGATTGATAATTACAGTTCACGACTTGGTTCCGACTTAATTGGGTCGGATCAGAATATTTGAATTTTATTTGAATTATTATATTGAAATATTTGCGAATATTTGATTTGATAGCCTAAGTACCTTTCTCAAGACACAAGATAAATAGCTAAAAACTAGTGTGAGCTGCATCTGTGTTTCTAATGAAACAGTAATGGTAAAAAGGTAAATTATACACTGTGAAAAGATGAAACAGTTGGGCCGACGGAGGACTATCCGCAACGTCCGTAACTTTTTTTCATCACGGTGTAGAATTTAACTTTTTATCATTACTGTTTCTCAAGACACGCTCGTGCCCTTTTTACCTGTGAACCAATTATATTACTAACAAAAAACAGTGAAAAGTCCAAAACTGATCCTAAAGTGCTGCAGTCATTTTGATTTTCAAATCCCAGTCTTTTCAGAACAAATAAAAAATAATCGTCTAATTGAAAATTGCTTAAATGCAAACCGAAATTGCTAACATACCGTGCAATCATATCATCTACATACATATTCAGGTTTTTTACCAACTTGTAGGTCAAAAAATTAGTGGGAAAAAAATTCATTTCAGTAGAACAATGAAACTAGACCCTAGTGGCAGGATAAACCGGATTACCTGGGGTCCTTGCAAGTACCGGAAAGAACTGGGACTTAACCCTGGTAACAGGGTAGAATGGGCTGTGTGGGACTGG